TCATGCATAAGTACCAAGCGTTCAGGAAGTGCGCGTCGGCGTCGCAAATTTGATAAGACGCGGGGGGTTCGCGCCTCTGTTTTCCCCGAGCGCCAACCGCGTGCGGTGCGGCTTCCGGAATAAAGCAAGATAGCACGTACGCGGTGCAGAGGTAGCACGCCGTCGTCACGTTAGACTGCAGGTGCCAAATGAAAAATGTTTAATCAATTCGGTGTCGTTGCCGCTATGGTATCTGCTTGATGCAGCGGGGCGGGCCTGTGGTTGGTTGGTCGTGTCCGAAGTGCACGACGGCGTCTCTTGTGCCCCCCCCCCCCCTCTGCCCCGCGACGGGCGAGCAACCAGCCCTGCTTTGCTCCCTTTTTTGGGGGGGGGGGTGCACTCTAAATGTCAAGGACAATTTTTGTAACTAGCACCGGACTTCTGCGTGCATAACTGGAATCAGATACTATATTGTGACTTGCTAGTCACTAAATGTGTGTTGGTAGTTACAATATTGTATCTGAGCTAGTTATGCACACAGAAGTCCGGTGCTAGTTACAAAAATTGTCCTTAGACATTTAGAGTGTGCGACATGCAGATTTCGATATTGCGCGGTACGATTATCGACCAAGTATCGAACATCGACTCGATGCATCGAGTCTCAGTGGTATCGCACACCCAGAAAAATCGTTTCTTGTTTCTAGTAAATTTTTCCTTGTTTCAAGTGCACGCTGACACAAGATCAAATTTTCTCTTGAATCAAGCTGATATTTTCTCTCGAAGAAAAATCTTATTCCAAAGACAATATTGCATTGTTTCAATAGTGAATTTCATCTTGTGTCAGCGTGCACTTGAATCAAAACTATTTTTCTGGGTGCAATATTTTCGTGATATCGCCCAGCCCTATATCCTTTGGGGTGTAGGGGTGTAGTGGCGTGGCGACGTGGCGTGCGGTGGCGCCCGGTAGCGCCGAGCGGTGCATGGCGGTGAGGTGGGTCATGACCACGCGACGCGTTCCCCCACAAAAGGCGCCTCACTTGTTATGCCATGCGCGCTACTGCTGCCTCCTCCTCCTCGCCTCCTGCACCTGTTCTGCTGCGCTCTCGGAAGCCTTTTTGTTGTATCGGTCGCTACACGGTGGCCTGCTGCCGCCGCGCGGCCCAGTCCAAGGCGGCTCCTCCTCCCTCCTGGACTCGTGCGTGGACTTTGAACGCCGACGCAGCAGAGGCTCGCGTGCGGCGAGGTCCATCTCTATTGCCAACATTTGCATCGCGACTCTTCTTCGGATTATATACCTGCTACACGACCTTTTGTTTACTCTTACGCGGTATAATTTTTTCTGTCTCCTTAAACGAGGCGAACAGCCCGCGTGGTCGCTCGCGGTGTTCGCCTCAGAGACTTGGGGAATTTTTCTACATAATTTGTAATTAAATGACGACGTCCTTATGCGCTTGATACGTAGCTCGTTTCGCCCGAGTCACGTTGCTAATGACTCTTTGGCGGCGCGGCGTAGTGTCGAGTCCGCTGGGCTGAATGCAGCCGCGGCAAAGGATTGCGAAGGCAACAACCTCTCCTCCAGGGCATGGTGTGGTGAAAGGGTGGGGAGGATCGAGTGCAAGGGAGAGAGGGGCAGGGGAAGGGTGGGGGAGAGAGAGCGCGCTGTTGCGGCCCGACCCCGCTGCAGGCAGGAGGCGCGCTTTGGATCGCGAGCCGCTGCGCGAGCTCCTCGGCGGTGGCGGCACCCCCTCCAGGACTCGACTGGAGGACTCCACCTGCGCGGGCCGGGTTACGTCGTGAGGACGCCGTCTGCTCGGGCTCCTTTGCGAGCCGCCCTAGTCCCTAGTTACAGAACTCTGACGAGTCTTAATTTTTGCCTCGGTCGCAAATGTACGTCCTTAGTTTGCGGTTACGAAAGTGCCAAATTAAGCCAATGCAAGCTCGCATAGCGCCGGATGGTTAGGCAAAATCTCGCATACAGTGCATGCGTGTACCGCGGGGTGGCCTACCCCGAATCTCGCAGGCGACAAGCTCTGGCGATTTTCCGAATGGATCGGAAAAGACGGGCGTACTTTCTGGACAAACTCTTACCACTAGTTCTCATTAAAGCGTTCCGGCAAAGCTGAAATGCAGAAGAATGTGAGGAAGAAGAGAACGGAAATAGCTATGCGTTAACATGGTGACATCCTTTTTCGATCTTGTTCCCTGCATTCTTCTGCAATGGTTTATTTCCTCTGCGCGATCACGACCGTCCGATGGACGTTTATCTCTTTTCCTGTTTTGCAGATGGAGAAGGAAAGGTCGGCGCGCTACGCCGTGACGGTGGTGCTGGGCGTGGGGGCGGTGGTGTCGCTGCTGCTGGGCAGGTCCATGCTGCTGCAGGCCGGCCTGGCCGTGGTGCTGGGCTGGCTGCTCACCGGCTCGCGCTACAACTGGCTCTACATCCTGCAGCACACCCTGGGCCGCGACATCAAGTAAGTATTTACTGTATTAGCCCAGCGCCGAAAGGGCTGCGACTTTCAAAATGTTGTCTTTGCCTCAGATTTGATTTGATGGTAAAAAATGTCATCGTTGTGTGTGTGTGTGTTGTTGTTTTTTTGTGTGTGTTTCTTATGCCACTCCCACCTCCCCCTGCTGTCCCCCACTTCGCGGCCCGGTCCAGCGAGTGACAGGGGAAAGTGATGCTGCTCCGGCAGAAACGATCATGCTGCACCGACACTTTCTTCGCTCCATTGCTCGGGGGCCACCTTGCCGGTGCCGGCTGCAGGGCCTGACAGCCACGCCACACCACGCCGCTGCACGGCCGTGCATTTTGCGAGTGGCGCACTTTGTGCAAACTGTACTGGCCTGGGCTGGCCGGCTCCGCTGAGGTAGAGAGACTCTGAGGCTCCGCGGAGGCTCCGCGAGAGGCCCCGCTCCTCCTGCCCATTACCGTCGCGAGCGATGCGCGGCACACGGCGTGCGTGACGGAGCGGTGTCTTCCCTCCATACCGAGTAGCCGCCGCGGCAGCGCGGCACCGCCGCCATGGCCCGCGCATTTCCGCGCATTTCCGCGCATTCCCGCCGCGCAAAACCGTGCTGTTTTAAATAAGGGCAATCTGGTTCGCCCACCACGCCACCAAAATTCACGGGCCACAGTATGCGCTATGCCCTATGAACCAGCAGCGCTGAGGCGGTGGCGGCGGCTATACGGCGGTGTGTAGGAGGAGGGCAGGGTCACGGGGTCACCACGTATGACCCGACACGGTCCATGCGACCCCGTAGACGGGTGACGCAGCAGCGTGCTCAACAGGACCGCGCGGGGTGCGTGTCTTCATGTGCCGAAACCTTGTCGTCTTTATTACCAGGTAGTTCTCTTCTGTTGTCGCGCGGCGCGGTGGCAACGACTTGACGGTGGTGTGGCGTGAGGTGGCGGCTCCAGCCATTGACCGCGGAGAGCACGCCTCACCACGCCTCTCCACGCCCCGCCCCGCCTCGCCTCGCCCCGCCTCGCCTCGCCGCGGAGGTGTTTGGCGGCGTGCTCGCATGGCGTGGCGTGGCGTGGCGTGGCGTGGCGTGGCGGGGCCGCGCAGAAGGGGCCCGTCCGCGCGCGCGCCCCCACGCAAGTCCCCACCCCTCGCGGCTCGCCGTGGACACCGTATCTATCTATCCGCGACAGTCTGTTCACCCCCGCTGAGGGGCGCAGCTGCTGCTCGTCGCGGTACCGCGGACCGATTGCGATAGGGCTGTACGGCGAATCACCTCTCTGCCGTCATCGCACGCACCGGGATGTAGCGGCGCGCGCGCCGCCGGTTGCGGGGCGGGCGTGTTTGCCTTCTCGCAAGGGCCACATGTCGCGTTACTACGAGCAGTCAAAGTAGGCAAACCCGCCCGCACCTATAGCTCGTGCTCAGAAACGCGAGGCACGGTGCTTACCGACTGTGACCGAGGCGCCCAATCGAGAAGGCAACCCTCCCACATTACACTAAAATTAATCCGCGTGGGAGTTTTCAGCCATCAGTTTTTATTAATTTCTTAATTAAAGCCCTTTACGTAATGATGTAGTGCAGGTATTTCAATTCTGGACACGACTCCGCATTGCCTAGGGCGTACTCTGTGGAACATCCTCTCGTGACTTCTGCTCGGGCTCAGAAGACGAGACGACTTCGCGGAGCGTGGAGCAGGCATTTAAATTTCTGACGCAGGGCGGCGAATAGGGAGGGAGTGGGCGTCCATGGGATTGGGGGAATCTTCCACTTCAGTCTCAGAGCTGCGTCTTTGCGGGGGAAAACAACAACTCGAATAATTTCATCGTGTATCATAACTGTTACGCAAGTCGTTCGCAAAATGTCCGCGAGCACCCATCTCTACCACATGTCACTGGCACGTGGCCTGCAACATCAAGTGGGACATATAAAGACGACAGCGGACTCGAACGAAAACAATCGTCTAGGAATGTCTGGTTAATCGCAGAATCATTCCGCAAACTACGCGGGGCTAGGTGCCTGCGAGACTCGGGGTAGGCCACCCCGCAGCACACGCATGCACTGCATGCAATATGTTGCCTACCTACCAGGCGCTTGAGGGCTGGCACATTCACATATGACGGCAAAATGAATGCCCGTGCTTTTCTGGATGATCCGGTTTTTGATTCGGTTTTATTCCGTGGGGTCCCATTTTCCTTGATTTCCCACGTGGGGTCCCATAATTTTGTTTTTCCCGACGTTTCTCTCTCTCCTCTCGGATGTGTGACTTTGCGGACTTTTCCAGTGCGCGCTGCGTGATTGGTAGTCATACGCGTGCGTTCGCAAAGTGTGCTGAGGCTCGGCTGCTTGACTCTCTCGTCGGTGGTGCCGGGAATCGACTTCCCTTCCCACACGTCGTCTCATTTGAATGGCCAACGTCACGCGGAAAGGGAGAGGAGAGGGGGGGGGGGCTGTCCTTAAGGCACCAGCGAACCTCTACACACATCGGAACCGAAAATTGAGAGGATAATCTTTCCCACTCGACATTTTTTGTTTCTTGTGGGAAAAAAAACTGAAACAAAGCGCCCATTTCATTCACCGAAAACTTTTATGAGAACTATCCGGTCTTCATACCGTCGAGTTTATTCAATGAGACAGGGAAAGCGAGAACGCAGGCAAAATTTGCAATGGATGAGAGAGGAATGTTCGGGGGAGGACAAGGAGGTGATGAGGAAGGCTCAGCGGATCACGCTCCTGGTGCCTGGGTGGGTACCGAATACCGACGTCGGCGAGGGCCGCGTGCCGCGAGGGACTCGGGTGAGGTAACTCGTCCTTGG